GAACGTATTGGGAAGTCGAGCTGAGCCAAGTTGCCGTAATTGATTCAGGTAGGCGCTGTTGAAGGTGGCTGGAACCACTGTGGAAATCCAGCATGTAAACCACGCAATCACACATGGCTGGGACGAGTTCGACTCCCGGCACGCAGCCAAGACCTGCTATTTGCAGTGGGAATAAAGTGAAGTGCAGCAACTGGAAGTGCCTGAGATCGAGCCGGCCGGAATGCGGAGCGCGTCAAGCGAAAGCAGAATTGCGCATAAAGTTCGGTGTAGTGACCGAGCCGGATCTAGAAATTAGCAGCAGAGCCCCGTCGGAACAGATCCAACGCCAAACATCAGCACAGCACCACAACTGGAGCACAAATTTCCAGCTCGCACAGCCCCGAGCAACAACAACACCCGCACCGTTCCGCCGCCCCCACGACTACTAAAATTCGACTGGACCCTGTCCGGGCGGGTTAGAAGACGAACTGCTTTGCTTGTGGCACAGCTCTTCGACGGCCGTAGCGGAGGGGAGAAGACGGAGCTGTTGGGTGGAAGGGCGCTGAGGCAGTGCTCGAATGAGGTTGAGGGCGCGGAATGTTGAGGAGGCGAAGGTGGGGAATTTGGGCTCACGGTAATCAGTGAGGAACTAGACGCTGGGCTAAAGCTAGCAAGCTTTCGTGCAAAATCTAAAACCCTACCTAAACAAAAAAACCCCACACTTTTTCACGACCCAAGTCCAGAAACAGGGGCATGTTGTGAACGAGTTTCAGGAGTTGTCACCACCCCGGCGTAAGGTTCCTTCGCTGAACGCAGTTACAATAACTCGGCTCGGCTCGGCTTGTCTCGTTTCATGCACGAGACGCAAAAAATTTTTTCTCCCGCCGGCAGATAGGGATGACCCACGGCGGACTGCGGCAGTTTGAATGTGACAGGTGGGAGTGGGGGACGATATGTGGCGGGTTTTGTTCGAGGTAGGGAATGGGGGCCGAGATAGGTAGATATAAGGAATAAACGGCGTAAATCCTTTGTCGATTGACTAAGTAACGTATGTTTGGAGGGGAAAAGGGAGCGATGAACGGAAAGGATGGGGGAGTGTGCTCCTGGTTTTTACTGTAGATACCTGGGGTAGGGAAAGGTAAATACTGTTTGCCTGAACAGTGATGTTATAGGAGGGATGGAAAGGGGTCTATATCTGTTTACTAGCAGGATTTGGGACAGGGTAGAGAAGGGAACAAGAATGCAAGTCAGGAACTCGAGGCAAGAACTGAAGATAGCAGTAAAGAGAAAAAGACAACAGCAAATCCGGCTTTATGAATAAAAGCAAAAGAAACTGAGGTTTTGCTAGTGGAAACTGACCAATAAAAACCCGTCATCAGTAGGGGACTTACTTTTTTCTGAAACTGACGCTTAGGTAAAGCTGTCCCACAAAAGCCCGTCATTAGGCTTCCCTATTTGTGAAACTGATACTTATGTAAAGTTGAGAGCTAATAACGTCCAAGAAGTGAGCAAGAGTAGGGTAGACTCGATGCACGGGGATGAAGTCAGCCTTCACTTCTGTGAGATTCTGAAAACAAAAAAAAAGTAGGGGTATAACTGTTGTGTGCAGTTGCAGGCTGCGGGAAGCACACTGTGAAATTGTCTGCAATTCTTGTGTAAATCCAATCGAACTTATTTGCTCTCAGCTTCACCAAAGCATAAGTTTCAGCAAATCCTGTCGAACTTATTTGCCCTCAGCTTCACCTAAGCATAAACCTCATAAATGCGGAAATCGCTTATCTACTCGCATAGACGTAGTTTTTGTTT